ACGAACAGAAAGGAATTTGGTGAAGTTTATTGTGTTAGAAGACTTATTTAGTTTGTAATAATGACCATCAGATGCAAGATGTGTTGTTCGGTGCCTCAGTGTAATCAATATATAAAAGCACGAATTCATCAATACACAGCTTCTCCGCAGTTGCAAAATTATGCATTGTGGAGAACATTTCAAAAATTGGGAAACCCATTTCCAATTATATGTCTGTGTGTAGTAAGCACTACTCAGAAACCGATTAAGAAGGTAATTTCATATCAAGAAAATATTTTTATGTTCAATCTATTTTTAATGCATTTTTTCATTCAAGGGAAATGGAATCCTAATGCAAGAGTTCATTTTGACAAAAGGCTTCAGAAAAGTACCTCGAAAATGATTTTTTTACAGCGATTCAATGTGCGCAAGACGCGTTGAAAATGTTCTGTTGTGTCCATAAAAAGGCTTTAAAAAGAACCAGGGAGAAGGTAGTTTTGTGACATATCAAGGACATCTCGATAATTGCCGCCTGCGGCGGACATTGGCTGTTCTATAATAGTTCTATACATGTGTGAACAGAACATCGCAGTGGAGGTTCAATGTCTTGAAATCTCGTACTTTTAACATCTCTGAGATGTTTTTTTGCTCGCTGGGTTTCCACAAGTTATCAAATCAAAACAAAGTTGGTAAAGTTAGTTACCTAAGATACATGGTGTAAAAATGCGTTAACTAAGGCATTTGGTCAAATCACCTTGGTAAGCAGACCAAATAATAATACGGTATAAACGTGGCCATTTATTAAATCCAACGTAAGTTAAATATTACTTTTCTTCTTCCTATATATTGGATATTGGAACTCGACCTCCCACAGGGATGAATCTTAATTACGCCAGTGACGTCATGTCATGACTTACTGAGGCTGATTTCACATGCATCCGTTTTTTACGGATCCGTTGGATCATGTGATGAAAATTGGCCAATAGAAATCGACACGCATGAGTCGGCAATCGCAACGTACCCAGTTGGCTCAACATTATGTTTCCTCCGTTTAATTTGTCCGTGATGAGAAAAAAGCTAGGTTAAGTAAATATTTTAATTTTTTCGATTTTTCCTAAACCGTCGACAACTCATAAACTTTGTGGGATGTGTTCGTAGTTTATCTATGGATGTGTTCTAAATGCCTCAAAAGGCATGTTTCATGAATAATTTCTGAAACTCTAGAAATCCCAACACGAAAAAGATATGAAATAGAAGTCATACTGTCACCAGATGCCAAATAACGAAGCGTAATGTCTAATCTTCTTCTTGGTTGTTTTTCAAGTGTAGTCTCCAAGAGTCCGAGCAATAGATAAAACATATCAGGCGACATTCTAAAATGATTGAAAAAGTTTTCATTGCTGTTTTCCTCCATTCCTCTAGCCAAATATTCACTTGCGTCATGAAATCTTCGAGAATTGTCTGTGGAGATAGGTCCAAAATCTACGATTTTTCTTTTAACATTCTGTATCTCTCCATAATAAATCGAATATATAAATTTTTTTTATTTTTCTCTTCATTATTTTCTGCTCCCATATTGTTTTATTTCTTAGAGATATTTGCGCAAAACAGGGATAACAACGGAGCTCACGGAACCATTCCATCCGGGAGGGACCCAACCCAGCGAGCACAAAAACATCTCAGAGATGTTAAAAGTATACGAGATTTCGAGACATTGAACCTCCACTGCGATGTTCTGTTCACACATGAATAGAACTATTATAGAACAGCCAATGTCCGCCGCAGGCGGCAATTATCGAGATGTCCTTGATATGTCACAAAACTACCTTCTCCCTAGTTCTTTTTGAAGCTTTTTCATGAACACAACAGAACATTTTCAACGCGTCTTGCGCACATTAAATCGCTGTAAAAAAACCATTTTCGAGGTACTTTTCTGAAGCCTTTTGTCAAAATGAACTTTTGCATTAGGATTCCATTTCCCTTGAATGAAAAAATGCATTAAAAATAGAATGAACATGAAAATATTTTCTTGATATGAAATTACCTTCTTAATCGGTTTCTGAGTAGTGCTTACTACACACAGACATATAATTGGAAATAGGTTTCCCAATTTTCGAAATGTTCTCCACAATGCATAATTTTGCAACTGCAGAGAAGCTGTGTATTGATGAATTCGTACTTTTATATATTGATTACACGGAGGCACCGGACAACACATCTTGCATCTGATGGTCATTATTACAAACTAAATAAGTCTTCTAACACAATAAACTTCACCAAATTCCTTTTTGTTTGTTAGCAGCGTGATGTGAGCGTCACACGCTGCAAACGCGAATGCCAATTGCGAACAAGAAGAACAAAATCAAAAACAACTCAGAATTCATCGTATTGTGACGTAAGCATGAGACGTTTTGGCGGGGCAAACAAAGAAAGGGCACAAAAGAACAAAAACAATACTTTCAATATCCTTCTAAGACCTCTTTGGGAAGTGCATAATACGCCTCAAAAAAACATCCTCATGCCTACATTTCTAAAACATCCCAAAACATCGCAGGGATACCTCTCAGTAGGCAAACAAAGAAATGCCACAGAAGAACAAAAACAATACTTCAATATCCTTCAAAGACCTCTTTGGTCAGTGCATATTACGTCTCAAAATAACATCTTCATGCCAACATTTTCAAAACATCCCAAAACATCCCAGGGATGTTTGTGCTCGCTGGGAAACTTGTGTACGTAAATCATGCAAACGTAGATCCGTGAAAACGGATGCATGTGTGAAAGCAGCCTGGGTATTGAATTTGGATGTCAAACGGTGGACAGAAACAGTTTTCCGTGGTGGAATTGCCTACACAGCCTACATCACTTTCTTGGTACTTTGGGATCGTCGTTCCTCGGCTCTTCTCGCTGATTAGAGCAGGTGTCTTTATCAGAACCAGACCTGTAAACACAAACCGGAGATTTTCATTGAAAGATTTGCATCATTGCATCTGTAAATTATAACGATTCTGTTTATCTGTTTATTATTCAAGAGGAACTTTCAATGTTCAATGATCGTTGAATAATTTTATGCGGGAATTGATTTCGCAATAAATCAGAAACCTTCCGTGGATGTCAATAGAATAAGAAAAGACCTTCCGATCCTCAACATGCTGGATACTATACTGACACTGACTAAACATGACATTGGTTGATGACTGATGACTCTGATGTTAATGAAGGTGAAGGAACGTCCTTATCTGTGGTCGATGGCCATCATTTATTATTGAAATATTGCATAAACTATTACCAATATCAATAGGTAGGTATTCAAATGGTTCGATTTCATGAAATATAAACTATAATGAATACAAAAAGCTCAGTCATTTCCATACAATGTTCAGAAAATTAACCACAATGTTAGGTTACGGGAGAAAAACAACTAGTTTCCTGGCTTACCTATGCCACGCAGAACCAATAATGTTATTCAATAATTACATCCACCCGAAATCTATGTATCGACTCGTATAAACGCATACTGAAACAAGCGATTCTTTCCTGAATGCCTATTGATTTCGATTTATCCAGGCCACGCTAGATACCTACTGACCGGTTTCGAGCTCATTGACTCTCATCAGTGCAGGGCAATCTTCAGCCAGCAGCCCTAAGACCGCCGACAAAGCGTAGCTTAGCCAAACAGAAATCAAGTCGGCATTATATTTCCTCAGAGGCGTCCTCCATAGATATTATATGTATGTATATATTGTCTATAGAAACAGCCGATAAATATATTCGTGTAGGCAGTGTTACTAACTCCATACGCCACCCTAGGAGAGACACTGTTGATTTGAACGTAACCGTCATACGCGACCATCTCCAACGCTAAGGAATTATCTTAGAATTTATAGCATAGATATTGAAAATCTCTGACCATGACTAGAGAGATATCGAACCTATTATTATACCTATAAATTCAGTAGGTCGAGCACGTGTCCGTTTCGGTAATCCATTTTATTTTGTGATTTTGTTCAATAATGTTATGTATATAATGCATTTTATGCCAGCTCTAGCAATAAAATTGATTTATTTTTTCATTTAACAAAGTGATTGGATATCACTTGCATTCAATTCCAAGCAAAAGATGTATCTTCGTTGAATATACATGATGGTTTACTGATGTCATTTCAGGAACCATTAAGTAATTGATTTCTTAGGGTCGTGCTTGTGCATTATAAACTGACACAATCATGCGAAATGTATATCGCTTTCCACACTTAATATATGTACACTCGTCTTCAGAAAACATGTCGCGGTTGGACGGTGTAAGCGCTCTAAATCACCGCTGCAATAAGAGCAATTACACCGTCCAACTGCGACATGTTTTCTAAAGACGACTGTATCTACTGATAATGTGTAATGAAATTGTATTGATATTTTTCGTTTTTACTGTGCGGTGAGCTATTTCCTATGATTCATGGACTTATAAGTATATTCAGGGTCACATCCTTATGAAGTAAGGATGTAAGGATTGAAAATCTAGAATGATTCCTTCATAGAATAATTTGTAATTATCAAATGCTTATCTGGAAAAAAAATGAAGGTCCATGGAAAATCTATTCTCTTAACTGACATTATGTCAGGTTAGGCAGACAGTTTTAGAATTTTACCTGACTGAAAACATTGTTCTTGTTTGCTTTAGCTTTAGACAATAGGGATCACCAGATGTGTAATCAGAAAATTCGATAGAGATAACTCTGCTTGCTTAAACATGGTTAATGAAATAAACAAAGAAGTTGTCATACTAGGGATTAAATTACCAGGTAAACTACATACATGTTATAAGGTTTCAACTACGCTTCATTGGCTTCTATATCTCTTTCAGTTCTACATTTCACTGTGAAATTTTGTATAGGAAGCATAGATAGTGAGTGTTTGTGTCACGGTAAGTCTCTTTTGTTTTAACTAATAAAACTAATATTTGAAAGAATATGTCCTAGTACGTAGGAAACAATTCATTCTGCATCCTATACCTTGAATATATAGGGATTATGGCGTGCAATACTTGGATATAGCATTCAATTTCGAGAAAATGTATGCTTTTCTCCATCAATGTTTGTAGGAAAGTCATGGCTTCTGCATCTGAAAGAACTAGACTTTTAACTCCAGAGGAGAGTCAACCTCAGTATGTTTTTGAGAATAGCACCACCAGAGAAAGAAAGAGAAGAGTCAGACAATTCCAATGCTGCATTTGTGCAATTTTCTTGTGAGCGTTCGAATAGTATTCACAAAAACTCCCATTTTATCATGCAAATCCTTTCAGGACTATATTTTTGGTGGCATTAATCATGACGGTTATGTACAGTATAACCGAACGCGATCTACCAAACAATGCCACTGATTCTCCAACTGGGAGTGACAGTACAACAGTAAACATCGATGCAGCTACAACTCCCATACCAGTGTTTGTCTTGCTGAGCAACATATTTCCAATTGGAGATGTGGAGAATAAAAATGAAACGACCAATGATGCTTTGCTCTGGAAAGAAGCAATCCAAGCTGGTCAAAGTGGCTTAGAAGAGAAAGATAAGATCGAAACATATGTACCGTCTTTGCAGTTGAGAAGTCCCAGTTACAGACACCAGAGGGTTGTAGCAACTAGTGAAAAGGGCAGGAATTTATCCAGGATCGGTTTTGTTGAGGAGTATGCAACAAGACATATTCACAGGTATGCAAATGCCGTTGTGTGGCAAACATATCGACGGTCATCTCACGTAGTGACGTATCTCAGTTTTCCTAATTTCACAGCAGAGCAGTTCAAAGATTTTCAACATCTTAATTAGCTCATATTTCAGAGGGTTGTTCATGAAAGATCATTATTTTTTCATTTATCAGTGGATGAACTGGAACTAGTTGTCATGATATGGTGAGATTTCGAAAAAGCATCCCCAAAAACGAAAAAAAAAAAAGTTATGAGATACGTCACTACGTGAGATCATGTTTGTTAATGGAGCCTCAGATACACCCATGGATATCGAGTGAATTCAAATGAATAACAGATCTGAATATTCATTTTTATTGATGAAAACACAGAAATTCATTCCACTAGTACAATCTTCCTTTCAGTACCTTGATATACGTCACCCAAGATATTTTGATTTCCGCAACAAACCCTATGTGAGATACGTCACTTTCGACATTTTCAACACATAATGAAAATATATCTCACGTACTGACGTAACTCCTATAGTTAGGTCACTTCGTGAGATTCGGTAGTCCAATAATTTGAGATAGGCTGGGTATTAGATTTTCAATTGCACGAAAACCATTGAATATTGAGTAACGCCACTTTGTGAGATCATGAAGTACAAGAATATAAATCACTTGACGAAGTATCTCGGAATCCGATTTTTATGAGATACGTCATTACGTGAGATGACCCACGATATGGTTCTTCGTACTTCTGTCATCGTTTGAGTAGTTTAGGGTCGGTTTTATAGATTACTTCTAGATCTCCGAGGTGACTTATAACGGTATTATCGACTGCGAAAACTATTGAGCTCATGAGTCCCTGCATTAGTGATGTCAGCAGTTGTCTATTGGGTAGGATACTTCATCCACCTATAGAGTGAACATATATAATTTGGGATTAACTCTACTCATAAAAAATCTCCGTTGGTTAACCGCCCCAGCAGATGCCCGGCCAAAATATACCAAATGTTGCAATTATTATTGATACCATTTTGCTTGTATGGTCAGGTTGGTTTTGCCGACCGCTGACTTCAATTCAACAAAAATGTGATTTCTATTGGGCTTTAACCACTACGGTAGAAAAATTTGTTAAATGCAGTGACATTTTGGGGCAAATCATCTGATTTGTCCTACTACATATATATTGAAATAATACGCATATTTTTATTCTGTAGAAACGAGTAGAGAAAATCTCAAATAATCAAGTTAAATGAATGTAACACCTCCTCGATTAACCGACAATATTCCGAATTATTGTTGATGAAAATTTAAAAATTCCATATTTTCTTAAAACAGTTGTTCTTCTCTTGAAAAGAAGATATTCATGTAAATCAAGAACTATTGTGTTAGGAAGGGACAAAAAGGGCACTTCAATATAAAACATGATGAAGTAGAAGGTTGGAGAATGGTTCTGAATTATTGGTAATTGAAATTTGAAAAATCCATACTTCCTTAAAACACTTGTATCTTCTCTTAAAAAGAAAATATTGACGTGAATCAGTAACCATTGTGTAAAGGAGGGATTACTCTTCAATACAAAACATGATGCAGCTAAGATCAATTATTCACTTTTGCCACAGGGCGTTAAGAAGTTATGGGTGAAAGTGTAACTTCTGTTTATCTCTGTATAATGATCAAGATTCAAGAATTAAAATTCAGGCTTACACTCCGAAACATACATCTATGATTTGACCGAATTTTCAGCAGAATCAGACAAGAATTAAAGAAGTTACAGGCTAATTTTTTTGCTGGCTGGTTATATTTGACGATGAGTATATATTTATCAAGGGCAGTCCTGAAATTCGTTTTCTCATTTAAGTGTATTTGAAATATACTATAGAAATGCAAAATTTTACACATTCACAGTTGTCATTATTTCATAATATGGTTAAAGTTGAGAGACCTTGGTTAGCGGGATAAACAGGTCCTCGTATATTTCGCCACTTGAAATCTAGTTGTTTAGAAATAATTGAGATACTTTCCCGTGATCTCAAACTAGGTATATTCTCACGGAAGTTTTCAGTTAATTGCTGTATCGCTTCTTCAACAATATCATGCATGCTTTCAGGAAGAGAAAGAACAACACATTAGTCGAAAAAATATGCCATAAAGATAATACCACATCCGATGAGTATTGTCGCAAATCAACGATGGAGTGTAATATATTCCTGATGAAATATAGAACCTATAATGGAACTTGTAATAATTTGCAAAAACCACTGGAGTACGGAGCGTCGTATAGGCCGTTCAGGAGATCTCTTCCCCCGGACTATGCTGACGGTGAGTGTGACCATTCCTCTGATCAAGGGTATTATTTGACATTCATGTCATTATTAGTATTGTCATCGTCCACCAATATTCTAATATTGGTGGACGATGGTATTGTTATTCCTGTAGAACGTTTAAGGCCCGTCCTCGTCCCTTGAGGCATCTTTAAGGACCAGTTTCCAGTTTATAGTCGTAATATGAGCTCGAAGAAAGCCTTAAGGAAATGTGAATTCCAAGGAAAAGGTAAAAGAGGTACCTTGAGCATTCCTTGATCCAATTTCTAGTATTAATTCTGGCTATGTTATGAACATGTAGATAATTAGATATATTATGGATATAAATATCACGGGTTTGGATAAATGGATAGTGTTTGATCTGGAACGCTTTTCTGGATTTCATGAATGGAATGATGAAAGTGAATGTAATATATTTTCAGTAGAAGTTGATAAATAGGCATTTAAGTTTAGTTCAAAAGTACATATTTTTTCATTTCAAATATAATAGGTATGTTATAACAAACAATGTAAACTCACCATATTTACAATATATAGATATCTTGAAAATTTTATCATGAAATTGAAATACATGCATTTTCAATGAAAAACCACACAAAATACAAAATCACAGATTCATTCGAAATCTATGTCCGCAGTATTTAATCAAATAGATAATTCTTCCCCTTCCCGGTTATTTACATATATAGGGTATGTCACGACGACCTTACACTAATTTTATCGATGTATCACACTTGGAGTCTATCGAAAAAGATTACAGAGATATATAGGGTGCTCAAAATCGAGACTTTTCAACTTTAGGATTTTTTTGAGTCGAAACTATTCATTATCGGTCAAAACGGCTCACATGTGCCAATCTCAACTCTTGATTCACTATTTACTGATACTTAATCGGAACAGATACAGGGTGGTTCAAGATTCAGAATTCTGATACAACCTGTATAATTTGAAGTCTAATTTTGGGAATTAATTATACTGCGTGGAGACTTGAACCTTTTTGAATTTCGTAATAGTATCTGATACAGTTATTATTTATCATTTATTATGTTTTCATATATATTTCTTTCAATACCTAATGAAAATAATCGCTTCTCAAAAACTCTAGCTCTCGATGACGTATTATACCGATAAGACCAACAGTGTCATATTTCTTAACATAGAAGTAAGAATTCACTTTCACAGTAGGAGCAGTGTACTCTGGGATTCACACAATACATAAGTCGTATCGTATATTAGTTGCATTAGATTGAATGCGGTATATATCTTTACGACGAGTGTCCCGAGTTTTCATGTTTTGAAATATCGTGAATTTCAATAATCATTTAAAAAATGTACAGATCTCTGAGGAGAAATTGGATTGCGACAAACCCATTGAAGTAAATTTTGATATTTGAAAAAATGTCCCTCAACTATGTGTAGTCGTATTTTTGAATGCTAAATATCATGCAGATTTCGAAAATGCAATATAATGTACATACCATATTATATCGGTGAAACTGATGAAACTGAGGAAAATTATTTATATGTCAAATAGGCACGTTTATTGAGTATGTGTTGTGTCAAATTTCAATTAATTTATCTTCGAAAAACAGAGGGGGTGTACTATATATTATGATACTCTCTGCTCACACCCATTATATATCCGTCATGATTTTGAAAGTGTGAGACACTCCACTTCACATTGTTGAATACATAATGAACAGAAATAAAAACTATTCTGTTTTTCTACCCCTTTCCATGTTATGAAAAATTCAGCGCATTTCAACTTTTTTTATTTTTGAGATTTTTAATTCGGAAAAAGGATCTGTATGAGGTTTTTGATTCTGATTTCAAGCGAATAACGAAATTTGAATAGGTTAAACTATCAACGCTGTCTGGAAAGAAATAAGACAAATATCGTTATGACAAATATATAATAACTGTATTATAACGATTTGAATTTAGTTCAAAATTATCAGCCCCATCTTCATGTATTGAATAAAATAACTAGCAGAACTATACTATCTGTTCAATCCAATATTATTTGTGTTACAAATGGTTACAAGAATGTAATAGATCGCCCTGTAAAATGCAAATTTAATTGATTGAAATCCTGAAATAGCATGAACGCACGCCATGTTATCTAACTCTACTATTATCGGCTAAGAATATAATATACCTAACTTAATGAATTGCATGTGTTTTGAATGCTACTATATATGCGGCACCTCATGGGTCAAAAGGAACCATCCATAGTACACTTGTGATAATACACATATGATTCTTCACATTTATTGATACTACCGTTGTAAATATCCATTTAAGCTATAGAATATGCTTCAACATATCAATAGAAAATAAAATTCCGCGTCTAGTGATGTGAAAATTGTATGATTATTCCGTTTGGAATATAAAGTTATTGGCAATATTGGCATTCAAAATGGCAAAAAAGTAACACCCTATTGAGCCTTTTTGGAATACTTGTTTCAATCTTCTTGAGCGATCGAAAAAAAATCCCTATGATGTTCGAAGCACGCTGTGCGTATATCTAAGGAGGATAGGGAGAGGAGGTAGCTGTTCGAATTTGCAGATTATAAGTTCTTTGGAATACTTCCATTGGCAAAGAAGTCCAGAGGATTGCCGTTCTATAGACGAAACGAGTCATGGTAAAGTGTTGTTCGACATATTTCAAGGTTGACAGCGAAAAGATGTGCTGACTGGACCTGTCAAGTTCGTCTGAGTGGTATTGCTAGCGATGAAATGATAGTATAGATAATAGATACCTATCAAGTAACGGTCGAGTCAATAAAAAAAAACATATATTTGTGTGATTTTCATGAATTGAACTCACTCGACCAATCTGAAGACTGCGCAGTCTGTGACAGCTATTTAATTGTAGGTATAAGTGAACCAAGAGTGTCAAAATCAGGTGACCCCCTACCATCTGCGAGAACAGTCAGCCTAGTAGTCCACAGACCCTACTACAGAAACGACCCGAAATTCTCGGTGATGCTGGCAGTTTGGGGCCAATTCCTGGACCACGACATAACAGCGACTGCTCTGAGCCAAAAGTCCAACGGCAGCTCAATATCCTGCTGCGACCCCCAAGCTGTCTCTTCTCCGGAATGTTTCCCGGTCCAATTGGACTGGCTGGATCCCTTCAGGGAGTACAACGTCAGTTGCATCGAGTTCGTGAGATCTGCGCCTGCGCCGACTTGCTGTCTGGGACCTCGGGAACAGTTGAACCAAGTCACGCCTGTCATTGATGGCTCTGTGATATACAGCGCTGAGGAGGAGGTGGCCAAGAAGTTGCGAAACATGGTGAACGGGACGATGAGAGTGATTATGACTGCTGACAACAGAACTTTGTTGCCTGCTTCTGAGGATCTGAATGACGGGTGTAATAGGGAGGAGGAGGAAAAGAACGGGAGATATTGTTTCCTTACAGGTTTGTATCAATCAGTTGATCATATTTGGTACATATTATACATCAGTCCACGTTCTTGATTGTGAATTGAGTCAGAATAAGGAGAGTTGCTACTGTTAATATAATGAAATGCCCAAAAAGCCAAAGTATGTACATATCTCGAGATCGTCTTGAGGACGTCTTTTTTACCTATTTTTTGGTTCACTTATATGTATACAGGGTCCCACCTAAATTGGAACAGTATTGCTATTTCCTGAACGGTAAGAGATAGAAAGTTGATTGAATTAGACAAATGTTGCGTACTTTTAATCTCTTCAATCCCAACTAGCATTTTCAGTCACAGGCACCATGGTTCAAGAAACTATTACCTATATTTAGTGATAATAACGTATTTATCACTTATTTCAGAACTTCATAGTATAAATGTCAGTGATAGTTATTTAGTGAGTGAAAATTACGTAGTTTTTACACTAGATAATAACTTCAAAGTGAGAAATTCTCATGGCTTATTACGAAGTAACTATTTCGAAACTGTCACTCCTCAAAACTACTCTTAAGGTTTCGGAACTTTGGATATATTATTACGGTAACGCTTACCACCCCAAGAAGGCTTCACAGTTGCAATTACTCTATGGTCACCAATTAGGTTTCTACGACGTTGTCGTTACTTGATCGATCACCTAATAATTTAGTCAATTCTTGGTGATATTTCAAGTAACATATTGGTAATTCCTACTCAAACAATTCCTTCATAGTTGAAACAACTTCTCGGTAATTATATTCAGTTGAAGTTACCAATACATACGTTATCATAACTGACGAGTTCCAAAAGTAACTTTCTGATTCATTTTCGATTGGAAGCCATATTGATTGATGTGATAACCATTTGAACAGGAAATAATTTTGGTTTTTCTTGTTGATAAACATCATTTTATGAAGAATAATAGCATTCGTTCGATCACAAATTGCATAATAATGGAAATTAACATGATTTACGATGATTTTTGAAAAATAGCCGAATGAAATAAAACCATATTTTTGGTGAAATGAGCCGTATTTTGTGGGCGCATCTTGAATTTCGAGGCAAAATCATCACATTTATCGAAAAACTGAATGTTGTTCGAATTTTTCAAGTTCGAGTATCAATTATTTCGCGTGTTTGTCCTTGTATTATTTATTGAATGGTTAGGCATATTGGACTTGTTCATTTTTCGTGAATGTGAACTTCATGGATGAAATGAAGAATAATAAAGAGAGAAAATAATATTTTTATGAAGTGGAAAAGAAATAGAAACTCAGGTAGGAAAATTTACTACATCTTTACGTAATTTCGACGTCGACGGGTCGTAAGCATTACGTAATTGTGTGAGTTCCCGCTACGTCGGCAAACCGTAATAATTACTCGTGATTTGTTCCCCATTTTGGTCGTAAATACGTAGTAACGACGTAATTATAACGTAACCGCAACTAGTAAATATTACTTAATAGTCGACCCAATAGTCGTAATTACGTAATCGCGACTATAAATGCTAGTTGGGATATGACGTTTTGCAATTTGGAAAAATGTCAGCCGTTTCTGAAATATTTTGAAAAAGCTGAAAATCACTGATTTCGTTTTTATCCATTTTCTTTTTTTTTATCGCTTGGAGCGCACGAAAGGAAATCCCTATAATGTTCAAAGAACATCGTGCGTTCCTAGGGGGGATAGGGACAGGAGGTAGGTATTGGAATTTTTTTTGGGCGCAATGTTTGTTTTTATACCATTGAATAGAGCTGAAAACACTAAATCATTTTCAAATATGGTAGGCTATGATAAAAGTGAACAAAATATTAGTCGTCATGACTACACTAAGTATCAATAATTCTTCGTAGCCATGTATAACACGCTACGACGCTACATTATTATGCAAAAACTAGGAAAAGGCACAGAAAAACCAAGGATACAAATTTGAATAATCGTTAAATAATCAAGATACGTTTACCTGAATAAATTAACTTGCCTTAAAAATCATATTACATCTGGTGATTTCCAGGTTTCTAGAATGAATTCAGATATCAAATTTAATGTTTGAGGATAAGTAAATTTATTGACAAATCCATAAAATATTGAGAACATTTCAAGGAATATTGATAAATAGTTAATTTTATCATGAAAATATAACTAAACTAATACTCATGTCTCACGTCTAACAGTGAATGAAAACATTCAATAATAGTTATGGTAATATAGTATCTTGATTATATGACGAAAAAGTTGTATTATTGGGTTTTCTGTGCATTTTTCCCATTTTTGGATAGGTATAAAATGTAGCGTGTTAATCATGACTAAGAAGAAGTTATTGATTCTGTAGTCATGACGACTGATATTTTGTGTTCTTATCATGGCCTACTATATGCGAAGAGGTTTTTACTGTTTTTTTACTTTTTTTGGTGCTGTTTTATGAGAAAATATCAACAAGTTATACATGGCTGTGAAAGGAATTTTCAGCTCTATTTAATTGTATTAAAATCAAGTATGGCGTTCATAAGAAAATCATAAGTTGCTCGCACAAGACTCTCGAAGACTTCTGAGGGTTGCTCGTAAGGGGGCAACTGAATGACGGATAGAACAATTTTTAAAATTTTTTTTAGAATGTTTCTGACAATCCCAACTTCTTTGTCATGATTTAATACCTGCTTACGCAAAATTTCAAATTTATTCCATATATGTTAACCACGAAACTGAATATAAACAAAATACGAACTGACATTTTTCCAAATTGCAAAACGCCGTATTGAAGAGGTTCAAATTACGCAACTTTTGTTTAATTTACTCCATTTGCTATCTGTTATACCGTCTAGGAAATAGCAATATACTGTCCCTATCAAATCGGCGGGACCCTGTATATATTAGTATCTTTCAAAATCCCTATTCAAAATGCTAGTTCGTGTTTTGATATTTATTGATAAAAGTTTTACGTTCCTGCAGAATCAATTTTCCCTAGAATATAGGATGACTTGATTGTCAGATTCGCAATTTCGAATGGTCCGCTCTCAATCTCCTTTTTGGAAGTATAAAGCTTGAATGTAATATAATTCACATCAGATTTATTGGCTTCAACAGCACCACCTTTATTTAATAGAGCGAAATTTGTAGAAAATACGCCATACGAATATAGTTGAGCTTATTTTACACCTGTGTTTGTCTTCAAGGTGTATTTTATACGTCATAGGACGTAAAAATGAAAGGATAATATACTGTGGTCTAGTGCTGATTAGGTAGCAACTAGCGATGTTCCCCCTAAGGATTCGGGGTTTTGGTTCCTACCACTGTACAGCCAATGTGGTATTTTTTTTATTATTCTTCATTCGTCCGCATTTTCTTTTTAACACGCTTTTGTTTCCTGGGTTGGGCCATCCGTGTAGACGAAACAATAGTTATTTTGAATTAGAAGTACTAAAACTGGCATTTATTTTCCGAGGGCGTTGTCTATTGTTCATCTACTATATATTCTCTCCGATAACGTGTGGTTCAGTCACAATTTGTTCAAGTTATTCCCTGTTCTGATCATGATTTAAGTTTCGATATTTTCACGTTGCTGGCCAACTTTGAGTTATTTAAGGACAATCAGTTTGTCGAGGATTTTATGTTCCCTAAAATTATTCATATGTTTATTCTTTAAGTCTCCTATATTGTGCAAGTCTATTTGTTTTATGTTATCATGTTATCCCTTCTACACTTCTGTACTATAATTTTCCACTTAATTAGCTGATAATGGGCTTAAATATAAGCCCAGAACATGTTTCTTCCTTGCTGATCAGATAAAATAAGTCGTGGAGATGAATCTAGGGTTCTATCATTAAGTTACAGAAAATATTGTTCTTTTAGAACATCTGTTGGTGCTCAGTTTTTGCAGTGTATTTGCTAAAACACAGCATTAACAATCTTGTGATCATATAAGATCCTATTTTATGTTGGGATAACTTCAAGATTGAGAATTATTCTTGTTTCAATTCAATTTAGCAGACAAAATTTCAACTAGATAGAGCATTCTCTACGTATCTCCTAATATGTATCGATTTTTTCATATTTATTATATACAGTTCTCAACACACTAAAGAATTATGAGTAGGTATTCTACTGTTTTTCGACGTCCTGTATTTTTCTTTAAATCGACCGATTTTCATGCTGTTTTCGATATCAGATGTCATATTCCATCGACTCGAAGAAAGCTAGAAAACTGAAAAAGTCCGCAGAACGCAACTAACACAAGGTGCACTGAGAGAAAACTTGAGTTATCATAATTGGAAATCTGATAACCGTTATTACGATATCTGCAATAAATAGGGGACAGATGTGTTCATGTGCTACCATAGATGAAGTGAATTTTCAGGTGACTTGTAGTTATGGCAGATTATTCAATTTGCAAACTTGTATAAAAACACCGCTGCTGAATAACTACAACTTGTTCTAGTTTCTATGATAACACAGAATGTCGAATAGGAATTATTCCCATAAAATGTTGCAGTAACTCTCCACTCTACAGTGGTTATTAGACTATCGACATAAAACAGCATGTTCTTATTACTGGCACAACCATCTTGAGGTAACGCAGTCATTCGTCTCATTTTACTATAGTTATCTGATATCTGCATGAAACCTGACATTTCGACATGCTATTGTAATGTAGCTCATTTTCAACAGTTATCCCAATATTTTTCTACTCTAGTATATTCATCAAACAGTGGTAATAAGGTTATCAACATTATTCGATGGTATGCATTATGAAACCGTGCTTTGAATTACTGCAATGAAAATAAATATCCTATCCACACTTTCACTTTTCATGATCCAAAGTTATTGTTTTCAAAAAAACAAAAAAATACGTTTAGTCTCTGAATGGAAATATTGGGGTATCTGTGGAAGTTTCTTGACATTACTCATTGATTTGTTCGGAGAAATATCATCTATATATGCATTACTGACGAATTTATTAAGAAATGAGAAGTTGAATACTTATATTTACCCTTCCTTCGGAGTTATGATGAGAATTGTCAATAAAACTTCCCTCACAGAAACCCAGATATTTTGATTCAGAATCTCATCGATCATTTTGTTTTTGAAATAAACCAATTTTAGGCCTTGAAAAGTGGGTATGGAGAATACTTTTTTCATTGCAATAATGCAATGCACGGTGTATTCCACAGATCGGTTCACAGCCAGCACTAAAACAAAACTTTGCTACATCACATCAGACATTCACCAACAAGACACGGCTCTTTCGATTCGGACGATCGAAACCATTGAACAATAATTGAACACGGGCACCCATGACCGAGAACAGAGAAATGAACGCGATCTGTATCTTTGTCAGCCACAATACTAATGAAACACTAGAGCGAACTGAGCCGAATTACGATTGTCGAATGATTGCCTAATAACCGTCATACATGTGAATTGCTAGAGTTATTCGTCAACGTACAATGCTAGAAACCCAAACAGCTATGATTATTGGGACAAACATTATCTGAATTCGCCAATGAGCATAATTCACAAAACGAGCTATGTCAATAAAAAATCTGAATAGACTGGAATTTATAAAATTCTCATGATGTCATAACACACCTGCGTTATGATGGTAGCAAATGTCCATTCAAGGGTATTACAAATGATTTAAGAAATCGATTTTTATAATTACAGAATGGAGAGAATACTGTTGTAATAATAAAATGATCAGGAATAGGAGATTTCCTTATAAAGGTTATTACAATCAGAGCTGGTAGATATTTTTAATATCCAGTTTCTCTCAGTGTGTGCAGTGGAAACACTACACTATGGTCTACATTTTCAATTCTGGCGGAACTCTTGGATTTTTTTTCCGATTAAAAGTCAGTCATATTATGATACATTGGTATTTCATCTCGGGTCGTTTTCGTGATTCCTCCTTAATTTGCCATTGGAACAAAAATAATGATTTCTTTCGAGTCTTGTAGTTTTTGAAATTCTTCTCAAAATTCCACTTGAACTGAATATTGGGAAGAACTACTGTTTTCATGTTTTCTGGTGATGGATGAAGACGGATAAATCAGTAGGAAATACAGCGTGAAAGGAAAACAATCTCATTTCAAAACTGTGACTACAAAACCATGGCCCATTCAGGGTATTCAGAAACTGCCTTCTCGATATCAATTTTTTTTAGACTGACTCGAGAGGTTCTCGAAAATTCACTTCTAATTAAAATACAGGATGATATTTTTCATAATCTGAATTCATGAAATATGATCGATCGATCGCAATAAACTATCGAAAGCAGCAGCGATAGTGAGTTTGAAAATGCGTCCATACGAAATTTCCAATGTAGCAGTTAGTAGGTATATAGGTATTCTGTTCAAACTTCAGTATTTGATACAAATAAGAATTAATGAAGAAGAAATTGTATTCCACAAAGAAATATAATATGGAAATGTGTCTCATTGAATTGTTATTCTAACATATGGTTGCCGATAAAATTGTGTACGCAACACGTCCAATAACAATTTTCTTGGACTCGCAAACTTCCAGGACTCGCATACGGCTCGGCCTAGAATTTTATCTACTCGTCCAAAAAAACAGTATTTCCTGGACTTGTTACGAAAATACCTATTCTCGGCTCAGAAAAGTGGTCATCAAGAGGTGATCACAAAAAACACAGATTCCGAAAAAAATATCAAAAACAGCTGTTCCATTTTGAAAAAATGCTGGTTTATCACGCTTTAGGAGTCTCTCTGTACATTTTCTGGACTGTTTAAAGGCCTTATTGCGGCATTCAACTTCCGCGTATCATTTTTGTTTCTCGATAAATAATAACGTTAAAAATAAAACTATAAATATCCCTGTACATAACTTGATTAAAGAATTGATGTAGGAAATATTAAAAGTGTATATTCGTTTTATAGGTGATGCAAGAGCGAATGAAAATTTGTATTTGACCAGTATGCACCTGCTCTGGGTGCGACAGCATAACTTGATAGCTTATAATTTGTCAAGGCTAAATCCTCATTGGAAGGATGAAATCGTTTTTCAAGAAACTCGAAGGATAATAGGGGCACAAATGCAGCATATTACCTACAATGAGTTTCTACCCATATTACTTGGTATGCCACACTGTATGTTGTACATGGCATTACCCCCATTTATTATCATCTTTTCCAGGTGACAGCTTGATGCAGAAGTTCGATTTAAACCCTTTGAAAAAAGGCTATTCCAAAACGTATAATGCGAGTCTAGATCCCACTATAGCAAATAATTTTGCAGCTGCCAGCTTCAGATTTGCTCACTCAATTATACCTGGGTTAATGAAACTCTTGTCGAATTACACTTCAACTCCAGAGTATGTTCAGATGCGCAAAATGCTTTTTAATCCTTTCCAACTTTACGATCCAGAAGTGCTTGATAAAACCTTGAGAGGTGCGATGAATACGACCATAGAAGCAAGTGATTCATATTTCACGAATGAGGTAATATGCATAAGTATATTTCCGATTCTCAACCTTTGAAGTACAAATACTATACAGAGATAGAGGGTTAATCAAATTACACAAAAGTAGTGTCTTTGATATGCCGTTTTGCAAACTGAAAACATTTCAGCTGTACCTGAAATATTTTGGAATATCTGAAAATAACTGATTTTGTTTTTATTTCTTTTCTCAATTGATATTTGAAGAAGGAATTTGAAATTTTCCATAAACAGGTAATTAATCATGACAAAGAAGTTCAGATTATCAGGAGTAAACTATCTTTATATTAGTTTCAGAGATATATCCTTTGCAACTTTTGTTGTTTTTTATGGGCGCCGAATTTATTTTTTGTGCAATGAATAAGGCTAAAATTCCCTTCACAGCCATGTATAACATATCGCCAAAAAGCAGTGAAAACCATTGTTTGGTGGTTATCACTGCTGAAAAGCGAACTGCCATACATTGTCAAATGTGGTAGGCCATGATAATGACAACACAAAATATCAATCGTCATGACTACAGTATTGATATTTCTTCATAGCCCATGTATATCACGATGCATATCATTATTAGGCAAAAAGGAGAAAAGGGCACAGAAAAACTAAGTATATCAATTTTTCGTTGAATAATCAAGATACTATTACCTTAAAATTAATTTGCCTTGGAAACCAGATAACGGAAGATTACCACGTTTTCAGAATGAAATCTGATATCAAATTCAATGTTCGAGGAGACAATTTATCAACAAACCCAGCATAACATATTAATAACGAATCAATGAACATTGATAACCCAACACTAAATACAAACCTTCAATAATATAGTTATAGGTGGACAGTATTTTGATTATTTAACGAAAATATTATATATATTGTTGGTTTTTCTGTGCCTTTTTCTCCTTTTTGCTTGATAAAATGTAGCAATGTTTTGAAACTTTTGAAAAATTACAGATTGCTACGAAGCAGTGATAACCAGCAAAAACATTTTTTTTAAACACGTGATAATATCATCGATATGTTATATACATATATGACTGTGAAGAGAATCTAAAAAAAAAAAAAATGACGCAGACTAGCAAACAAAAGTTGCATGGCCAAATTCTGGCATCAATGAAGATATTTATTACTATCCCAATTTGTTTGTTATGATTGTTACTCGTTTCCGCAAAATTTTATATTTCTTTCTCCAATATCAACTGCGAAGGTAACTGATAACAAAATCAGTGAATTTTTCAAAATATTTCAGGAACGGCTGATTTTTTATTTCGGTTCCCAAAACGGCGTTTTGAAGAGGTCTAAATTCTAATTTACTCAACTTTGGCCAAATTTTGTCAACTCTCTATTTCTGCCATTTATTAGCAAACAGCTACCCACGTACCTACGGAAAATACCACTAGAACATATTATCATATTTTGAAAACTACCAGCAAATAATACTTTTTAATGGACATAGTGATCAATACGTGGATTAGATTTCTGCAAGAGAAATAACCGACCAGATGGTTTTTTATCTTTTTATCCTCTTTTCAAATGAAGCAATTATTGAATTCAAGAGAATCAAAAAAACATATTTTTTTATCGAAAGAAAGAGATCTACGAGTGTTATTTGTCGTGCACAAAACATCAACATCTTCGAAAAATATTTTCGAGCATATATCGTTTATATGGAAACTTTTTACTTACATTAATGAAAGTAATCTTTCCTAAACTTTCGTCACCTGATTTCAGGATCACCCTTAATAGCTCATTAATCTGGGATTGTTATTTCAGTTGAAATCACACATGTTTGAGAAGTCCACAGAAAAGTTTAAAGAACCAAAATTATGTGGGTTGGATTTGGTATCTCTGAACGTTCAAAGAGGAAGAGACCATGGTTTGCCTGGTTATACGTCATGGCGGACTCATTGTAAACTTAGCAAACCCAAGAGTTTTGATGATTTGAAGAATGATATGGATTCCTATTCTTTATACAACATTAAGGCGATATACAAGTAGGAACTAAAGTAGTTGAAAATCAAGTTCAAACATACTTCACATTTTCATTCAATATTTTCAACATTAGCAAATCATATCACTAGGTAGTTTTGGAGCTTTTTGTATTCACTAGAAAATTTCATTGTGAGCTTGATCGTTTCTATGAATTTTATATTGAGATAAATCTTGGATTTTTTCAGGGATGTGGATGATATTGATCTCTATACAGGGGCTTTGAGTGAAATACCATTGGAAGGAAGCATTTTAGGTCCAACAATAACTTGTCTGATTCTTGATCAGTTTTATAGAATCAAGCATGGTGACAGATTTTGGTATGAAAATCCACAAAAACCGCAATCTTTCACTCCTGAGCAGTTAAGCGAGATCAAGAAAACCACATTGGGAAATGTTATTTGTGATACTTCAGATGGGCTTCACCTTGTCCAGAGAAGAGTGATGGAAAGGGTGGAAAATGATGATGAATATATTTCTTGTTCCGAAGTAGACAGGCCGAATTTAGAGTTATGGAAGGAGAATTTGCATCATGTAGATATGTCAGATGATTCTCTCACTGTCAAAACAGCTGGCTGAACAGCATCTTATATTTTGTATTCTTGAGCAAAATAAAAATATTTTTTGCTTTCTTTTATTATAATTTGGAAGAGCTATATTTTAATTCTGATCCCCTTGAAGTTATTGTAGAAAAACTGAGATTCAACCATGTCTGTGAATTCTACTGTTTGGAAATAATAACTTCAAATATACAAATACCTACCATCAAATACTGCCTGGATATATACATATATCAATGAATCAAAATCAGCTGAGCATACCCTTGATAATAACATTGCCTGTTTAATTAATAAAGATAGACCATATATGGTATTCGCTCCTCAAATAAATCTGATTATGAAAATGGTGAATTCAAGATCGATTAGAAAAACAACCCTAACAACACAGGGATGTCCTAGTTACGTCCCTTTTTTGTCTCGCGGAACAAGGACATGATTGGGGCATCCAGAAAATGTCGCGCAGTGGTTGTCGAGTGGTTATCCCGCCCGGTACATCCCTAGGTTATCCTATTCGTGTCCCTGGAATATCTGATATCCATTCACATCAGAGTCATTGAATTTCATCAAAGTATTAAGTTGCATTTTTGTCAAAATGTTTGTTTTTCTTCCGGAAAATAATCGTATTGAAAATAAAGAATAGTCCTGTTTATCTTTTTTGTACATAAATCTTCAGGAGGCTCAATAGCCAATATGGAGTAAGATGCGTGCCTGATAAGCCAAAGGTCCCGGGTTCAATCCGTACTCGACCTACTTTTTTTCTTTTGTCGAAGGGATGTCCCTGGAATATCCTTGGGACGTCCTAGGAATATCCTTTCTTCGTACTTGGTACATCCCAGGGACGTACCAGAAGGACATCCCTAGGATGCCTCTTTTTGTGGAAAGCGGATGTCCCTGGGACGTCCCTAGTATGTACTATGTCCCGACACAGGATATCCCAGGGACGTCCTCGTAGAAAATGAAGGACGTCCCTGGGACATACTCGTGTTGTTAGGGAAAGCTGTAAATAAACTCACACATTTTTTGTAAAAAGCGTAAAAAGGCGAAAAGATCAACCTAAGAATTATTTTCCATTTCCACTTTCATGTTGAAAACGTCCAATAGAGTGGAATTTAATATTCCTCAATATAGGTATGTACCTACACTTTACGTTCTTCTCTTTCGAAAATTTTCCTAACAAGGTGTCACTGATAACTATCGATTGAATTTCTCTCTTAGGTTTCTAATAAAGAAGTTTTGAGCGTGGTGACGTTTTGGGGCAAATCATCTGATTTGTCCTCACTACAATAAGTACCTACCGTAAAGTAGGGTGACTTGAAAATAGGGGGCAATTTGAAATATCCGTGCGCGCTCGAACTCAACCACGTGCTACCATCTTTTTATCAACGGCAAAAGCTGGACATTTTTCGTATATGTAGGAATCTATTATACAATAAATCATGTTCAGTCGGTCGCACACGCGCACACCTGTGGTGGTAAAGGTTTCCGTGACAAAAATTCCGTTATAGAGGTAAGAGAACAAGAACTTGCTTACTTAGTAGTTTCACGTTGTTTTCGTTCTATAACTACTTCCAGTTAGGTGGATGACTGCAGATGAGAATGGTGTCTATCTAATTATTTTTCTTTGATTTGGGTACGGTATCCTAACCTGAGATTTGTGTTGAATTATTTCGTTATCCAGTGGCGTACCATTTGATTTTTTTTTGCATTTCTGAGGCGATTTGAAGTATGGTTCGTTTACGTTGAAAAAAAAACGGACGCAGAACTTTCAGAATTATAGTCGTCAGGCTGTTACATCGAGAGGAGATGGAAGCCTGATGATGGCAATGCCAGAACACTTTGGAATTTCCGTGACAACCATTGACATAATCTGAAACAATATATGATATTTTATGCTTGATATCAGGCATTTTGTTGCTTTCAAAACTTTTCTTAATTCCATATGTCGCCTCTATGAGACTATCTTGAAAATTAGGCCGCGAGAATTGACGATTCAAGTCAACTTTGAATTTTTTTTCACAACAATTAGCCAGGCATTCAATTTTGTCAATGCCTGCCATACTTATATTCCTTTTGGTCCAAAGTGATGTAAATATATAGGTATTATGATTTTTGGATTTTTATAATATGCACTCAATGAACGTAGGTATTCGACGGTTCAGGACCAATAAATAATCAGACGAAAACGTTCCCCCCCACCCCCCGTTTTACGATATATTGAACTAGTATCGGCACAGATTACCCCACCTAGTGGGGTAATCTGTGGTATCGGTAAAGTCTATCCAAAAGTCAGTTGAACAGCCTCGACCACGGAATGCAGCCATCACGTGCATATATGATGGACTTTTAAACGAAGCGACACCGCTCATCTGTATGGTTTTTGCTCGAGGTGCTCCAACTGACTTTGGATAGCCTATTCGAGACGAGGAAAGAAAATCTCAAACATCTAGAGATTCAAATACAATGGAGCAATAATGGCAGATCGATTTTTTTAAATGGGAAATCGTGATCTGGATAATGTGTGAACCAGTTTGATGCAGTATATATAGTCAATGAAACATCTTCGATTAACCTTCCATAGTAGTTGCGCCTTATCCGGACATTGTTTGTCGCTAGGGATTCTGACTCCGCAATGGAGAATTTGGGTGGTTTGAACGTGATGAATTGGATTCCACCAAAGATGTATTCAGTATGACTTATTTGGGCATGAGTATTGCTACGAAGTAACATTCTGTGAAAATTGCAATAAAAATAATATATTTATTTGCAAGATCAAATTCGAAAACTTAGCAACTACTGTCGAACGTTTCATAACTTAAATTTGAACAAAAACAACACATTTTGAGGACGAAAAATTAAAATATACCAATTTCAATCCAGCAATGACTTATGGTCATCAATCTCTGTAAATGAATGATGTGATTTAATAAGCATATGAATTTTTCACATGTACAGGCTGAACAACTAAGAACGGCTATCATGTCTATCATTCTCCCTTTGATAGTTAATATATCTTCCATTGGCGAAAAGCTATATGTTGCGGTTTTCGTTGGTTTGTTGAGATTTAGTTTCTCTATTTCATCGTGTAATGATATGCATACCATTAGATTTATTCCATCTCAAACTTGTATCATTATTCGTTGCTGAGACATGGCCGACCAGCCGTTCTTAGTTGTTCACCCTGTACTACAATAAAATTGAGTGGGTCAATTTTTTTTCTACCTCAATAGCAGCGATCATGTGTGTTTACCAAACGATCATTTATGAAATATCATTCATCAAATTAAATATGATTTTGCCTAAAAATCGCTAAAAATAGCTGCAAAGTAGGTATAAGTAACTGATGCAACTGAAATATAACCAAATATGTGGCAGTCACTGTCACTTTTCCAATTTTCTCATGTGAACAGTGCGCCCGTTTTATTCAAGCTTTCTGCTGTAGACATAAACTGGCATGTGAACTCGCCATCGAAAGATTGGTTTTGACACTATTCCAGAAAGGTTTTGACCTTTATATCGGACGTTTTTCTTTTCTTACATGGTGATACTTCAGATATTACAGATATTTGCAGTCCTAAAAGCTCTATTGTATAATACCACAAAATGTATACTTATGGTTGAATGGAAGAGCAAGCTCTGAATATAAGACTCTGACGATGTATTCAGAATTTGAATTCTGCCTTTTGATAGTTACAAGTGCATTTTGCAGACTCGATTTTATCTCTGTGAATATTCTATTATTTTTTTGTACGTGTTATACTTATCAATAAAATCATTATTATTATTATTATATATATTTCCTTTGAAAATATTTCATTTAGGATGATGGAAATTAAAATTCCTATGATTTATTGAAAATACTTATATATTCAGTACAAATAATACCAAACCATTGGAATAAAAGTCAACATGCAGGCTGAAGCTAAATCATATGGTACATATGACTAACTGTTCTACTATGATTTTCACTTTTGGTTTTCCTATAATATGTCAATACAAAATTAGATAATTTTCATTATTACAGGTACGTTTGTTCCATTTTTCTTCAGAGTAAAAAATATTATATAAAAAAATTATATACATCATGGACGGAGTCAATACCACTTGATAATTAAATATTAGCACAAAACTGATTAATCACAAAAATCAGATCTTTTTCACATCGAGAGAGTAAAACCAATGTAACATCAGTTGTAAAACAATATACATTAAGTTTATAAAAGATAATATCATAAATGTCTGAGTAGAAGATTTAATGTAAAAGTGATAGCAATAGTTAATAAACTATTTTGTACATTATTAGCTGTGCTTCGATAATATTCCGGCTTACCTAAAAACGAAAAATATCAGAAAATTATTAGTTCACTTCTATTACATGTACACAAGGAAACATCAAGGAACATGAAACAATTTTGGATCTTCAGATCAAGAAGTGAAAATCAATTTCTTGTGCAAACTGAGCAAAATTATTTTAATATGTATTATCTATTTCATTTTTCCGGACATATAGCTTTGAATTATTAAGGAAAAATATTTAGAGCCATAAACAGAAATAATAGAGCTTCATCTTACTGCAATTATGAAGAGCTTGAAAAATGTATATGCAATCCAGAATTTTCCAAAATTCTTCAAATGTTAAGTTCTTATTTTCAAAGTGTTCATGTACTTCAATAAATTGTGTTCATACGTAAATCATGTATGTCCTCTCAACGCACCCATTTGGAATTCCTTTTCTGGTGAACTCATCCTTCCATCTCCACCATTAGAGTAAGCTAGTACTCGCAATTTGTAAGTCTTTCCTGGTGAAAGATTGTAAACATAACCTTCCAGTTTCCCACCGAAGGGGATAATCGTATCATTTGCAGTGCTAAGATCTTGATCACTCTCCCAAATACGGATTTTATAACCTTGCAAGGGTTCCTCTTGCAAAGATGGCTGCACATATCGCCACACAACTTTGACAGTTGAGGGATTGATACCATAAACCAGTACTGAGGATGGCGGTTTTTGTGGCGCTTTCTTGAATGTACGCTCTAAAAACAACTGTGTTAATTCTGAAAGTATCATGTATTTCAATATTACCAATGAATCTTTCACTCTCAGGTCCTTCTCCTGCTGCATTATATACCATAGCTTTAACAGTATAATAAGTATCCGGTTCAAGACCAACAATAAGCGCCCATGGTCTCGTGGATCTTGACAGATAGTACACACTGTCTTTTTCATCACCATCTTTCTTCCAATACTTAATCTGAAGAAAAGAAAAATCATGACCATTGCTAAGTTGATTGGAAAAGAATCTTTCGACTTAAAATTGTAAGACTTTGCATCTTAAGTTGGCTATAGTTGAGATTTATTCATCTCCTTGGACAAAATTCAAGGAATGAAGAATTGGTTGACTTTTGGAAATTTGCTCACTAGATTTTCATAAATTTGGAACAATAAACAGCTTGTTCCAGATACAAGTGGAGCGTGAAGTGAGACTGGACAGTTTGTCCTTGGGTAACAGATTAATATTCATTCAAATATATATCAACTGATAATATTGTTCAATTATGGAACTCAAATCATTCTGAGAAACGGTATGACGAGTTGGCAATGATGTAATCGGGAATAGACTGTAGATAATATTATTGATAACCTGAATGAAATGAGTAAAAAAAGAAATTGGCACTGTTTAGATAACATTAGGCAATTGATATATGTTATATACTTTATGTATGTGTTCCTTAAAATGAAGGCCCTATCTATCTATTCATTATTATTTACCCTGTGGCCAATAAGTTTTCCTTTGATCCTCGCCCTTGATTGATCAACCGGCACCCAGCTCACATTCAGTGCAGTAGAGTTGAATGACTTGGCAATGACCAACTGTGGAGAAACCTGAGGCATGTCTTCAGCAGAATAGATAACTTCCTCATGGCTAATCGGCCCGGCTCCAACTTCATTGATAGCTTGAACCTTGACTATATATTGTGTATAGAAGTACTGCCCTTCTATGTTCACAATAGCTTCCCCAGTGTTGCCATATTCTTGGAGGCTCATACTCTGAAACTCGGTTTCGCCTTCCAAACGTTTCCAGAATATTTTGTAATAGATTCCCGGCCCATTCTGCTCGTCAGATTTCAATGGGGTCCAAGTTATCCTCAAATCTCCCGATTTGCCTCCACCACCACCGATGTTATGGGGTGGGATAAACGGTCTATCCGGGGGTGTTGAATGTCTGGGACTTGGCAGGGAAGGAGTACCCATTCCTAAGTTATTCCAAGCGGCTACGCGGAATTCGTAAGTGGAATACGGCGTCAAGTTATTGTCTATGAGAGCTTCTTTCCGCCCTGTGTACCTATCGATTTCTGTGCCTCTCACATTGTGTGTTATATTAACCCATGTGTTGTTCCAGTTTGTACGGCCGCTAATCGTGTAGCTGTGGATTGGAGAACCATGATGAGCTCCATCGGTCCATTGTAATGTAAAGGAGGATCTTAGGATTTCAATGACTTGTACACCACCTGGTGGGCCTGGAGGTCCTTCAATGACTATCCTAGATTTCGAAATTATCCGCCCAACAGCTGATTTGACAACGCATTCGTATTCCCCATTATCAGAGAATGTGGTGTTCAGAATTCGTAAGTACCCACCATCAACTTTCTGAAATTTTTAGGCCTAGTAGTGAAGACAACTTTCAACATCAATGTACTCACCAATCGGTTGTCTGAGTTCACAACATCAATATCTCGAATCATCATACCATTGTGTTTCCAGTTATATGCTATATCTAACATTTCATCTGTAACTGCATAGCAACGGAGATCAATGTTGTGACCGACAGAGGCTACAATAACCTCTCTTAAAGGTTCTACAAAACGGGGACCTCCTAAAAATCACACTACGTTATAGTTATCATAAATTTCTCTGATGGAAGTCCATGTTAGAAAAAATGAAAATTTCAAGGTCTTTTCCACAAATTTAAATTTAAATGGAAGATTATGAGTTTCATTATTTTGTTGATGAATTCAACATGGTGTAGGTCTTTGAGGTTGTGCTGATAATGTTTTATCCTGATTCAATTAGGTACATGCCGGTTTCAGGTTATATCAATTATTTATAGCACCTCTTTTTGATAATAAACAACTATAAAATCATGCTTGAGATATTATGTGTCTCAATTTTATTCTAGACAGTTGAATATTTCATGGTTTTTGACAGTTTTTGAAGTCTCCTAGTCAGACTTTTTGTTTTCATATCTTTAAAATATATTCAAGGCCAAATTAGATCTATTTGTTCCACAATGAAGACATTTTCAAACTCCCTTAAACTCCCTTCAGTCCAATTTTGAATATGATTGATTCATTTAAATAGGACCATTTTTCTCAGATTTTCTTCAAGGAATGATAAGAAATTTCAAACAACTCACTTAGAACAATCAGTCTGCCCTTTGATTCATCCAAGCCTAGTTCATTTGAGGCTGTACATGTATAGACACCTTCATCATCTCGAGACACAGGACTTATGAAGAGATTGCCATTTTCAAATATTTTTCTATGGCCACCTGCTCCTAACACATTTCCATCTTTTTTCCACCTGAATGTTGGTTTTGGAGCTGCTTCAGGTTTACATATTATAGTAGCATTACCCCCCTCTGCTGCATATGTTTCAAATTCCAATGGGTTCTTCTTGAAAGATGGTTTGAAAGCTACAAAGAATTGTTTAATGGAGAACTTTTACTGCCAAGAAAACATACCTAGTACTCGTAGTTGTGCAGATGAATATTTTGTTTTCAAAGTATTGGAAGCCCTACACTGATACATTCCTGGGTCTCTCTCCTGATCCAGATAGGAGATTGTGAGAACATTGTCCTGAATTTTTATTCTACCTTGATCTTCTGGTTCCAAATAGCCCATAACTGAAAATGTGTTTGGTGAAAGTAAAAAATTATGTTCTCCAGTAACAAAAATGATTTGTTTGCTAAAATAATTATCATTTATGTATACATCCTTTTCATTTTTCTTTGGACAACTTCCTCAAAATTTACCAGGACAGAAAACTTGTCATTAAAAGCATTCCTGAATTTTCAGATATCTCTGAAATACACATTCACTCACCAAGTTGTCTTCCATCTTTCCACCAAGTATAGTTGACATCAGGCAATCCAAATGCTTCACAGGTCCATACTAGTTCACTTTTGCTATCTACATGCTTGTCAGTTAATGGGATGGTGAATGTTGGTTCTGCTTGAATATTTAGAATAACTGTGCTGAATATACTAGCTCTATCATTATAAGCATGGCATATGTATTCCCCTTCATCCTCAACTTGAACATTCTGTATCATGAGGACCCTATTGAAGTTAGTGAGATATGAACTTCTTGGCAAAACACCATCTTTTCTTGTCCAATTGAAGCTTGGAACTGGACTGAAAAACAAATTGGGTTTAAACCTGGACACTGCATATGTGGTAATTAAGCAATTCTGAACAGCAAGAACTTACTATCCAAATGCAACACATTCCAATCTCACATCTTTCCCAGCAATTGGAGCTTCTGGAAAAGCCTTAGGAAAATTGTTTGGGAATTTCAGCTGCTGATAATTTGCTGGAAAATAAAGCTGGTAAGCTACTTTACTAATAAAATGAGATTATATTTGAACTTACAATGTGGATTGACACGCAGTGAGAAGAAAGGTCCATTCCTACCTGAGTCAGAGAACTCAGAGTTTACACTGCAACTGTAATTGGCCCTATCAATAGTTTCTAGAGCAGAAAAGTACAATGCTCCATCATTAGACACAAACACTCTCCCATCCTCTTCAACAAAATTCGGAAAATAGTCACGTGACCAGGAATACCTGACAGCAGGGAAATGATTTGGAGGATCACAGAATATGGATTTTCCCCAGTTTTGGTCTCCTGCTTCTGGGGATCGCTTCAAAACAAATTCAGAGATGAATCCAAAGTTGAGCTGGACACTTTCTGAAATAATTGTTCCGAATTTGTTGTTTGCTTTGCAATGGTACATAGCATGGTCTAGCTTTTGTTGAGGATTATGAATTATCAATGTTCCACCACTGACAGTGTACCTGCCATCTTGTAAGGGATCTATTTTATAAGCCACTAGTCGGTCATTTTCATAAAGTTCTCTGTACCATTCATAAGTTGGAGTTGGGTATCCACCAGCCAAACAACTGAAACATGCAAGAAATTGTGTTTCTATTAGTGGAAGCCTGAATGCCTCTAGTGCTAAGGTTGAGTTAGACTCTTGGTAATTGATTTCAGCTAGCTAATTGAATGAAGAATGCTGATGTGTGAAAATACAGGAATCCACTGACCTCATTACAACACATGAAAATTATGGAACTTACCTTAAACTAATATCATTATATAACTTTCTCTTGGACATATCAAATATAGTATCACTAGGTTGTTTAATAAAATAAGGCCCCCTTGGTATCCTCTCTGGATCAGTAATATCAATTCCATAAGTATAAGCTCTATCTTCAGTAACCAATCTTTGGAGAGATAAAATATTTGCTTCACAGATAAATAGCAAAGGTTCATCTCCTTTAACTTTCTGGAATCCCCAATGCAAAAAAGTTTTTGAGAAATTGTAAGCCAAATAGTCTTTTATCATTTCTCTTCCATAAAATGAATCACGATCTCTGTTTGAATCTATATCATTAAGGAATGCATTATCCATGTTTGCTAACTGAGATCCATCAGGATTTGTATAATAATTTGGAGATGTCTGGCGAGCTCCAACATACCATCTACGATGTTGAGGATCCAGTTTATTCAATTGATGAACTAAAAAGCCATGTTCTTCAGAGCTACCTATTGAAACTAAATCTGATCCACCTGTTTCTGAAGTGAAAGTCTAAAAATTCATCATACATTTGGTAATTGATCCACAGAGAAAGAGTTAGAGACAACTTACCAGACAGATTTTCCTTGCTTCATTATAGGCTCTCAGTGGGGATTTAATGAAACGGTAGCACATATTTTGAAACTGGACCCAATATTCTGGGCATTTCATTTCTTCATTTCCATAACCATAATTTCCTTGATACCCACTCCCACTGTATGAGTTTGGGTTGAAATTGAAGTTTGGGTTATAGTTTGGATTGGCATTGTAGTTGGTATTTATGTCCAAGTTGGAATTCTGGTTGATATTAGAATTCTGGTTGATATTAGAATTCTGATTGTAATTTGTGTTTGGATCAAAATTTGGATTTGGATTGTAGTTCAAACTAGGATTGTAATTTGAGTTTGAATTGTATAATTGATTATTATCATTGACGTTTCTATTATCATTGATGTTATTTGTATTGTAAGGATCGATTTGTTGTGCAAAAGTAATGGCAATTATGCATGACCAATCAAAAACTTGTAACAGCCACATTTCTGAAAAAGAAAACACAATTTGGATAAACTTGCCAAGCAAATTGATAGGCTTTAGTCACCATGGGAGTGGCATGTTTGACTCATGTTTTATATACATTCAACTAATGATTGCAAAATAAACAAATATCATTTATTTGAATTACTATAAAGGCCTTCCTCACCTAGCTGATGTTTTTGATATCCTGGTATTAAAATAAAAAGAATGGAATATTTACATTTCTTGAAGAGTCAAACAATAACATTAATTTCCAAATAACGGATAGAACACATGGTACATGACTTTACCCCACTACTGTACACACCACTAACTAGTCATCACAAAAGAGTGACAAAAGTGATCACAGAGATCACAGTTCAGTCAAGTCAGACATGACACGGCTAACGTAAGAATTCACATCTACCTGAATACGCCCACGGGCCACAGGATCACACACAGCCATGGCGATCATTTCGAATTTATCTAATATCCTCGTCTGCTAGTTGTTAAGGACAAAGGTCGAATAAAGAGAAGGAAATATCCGAAAATATTCTTTCAACAATTATTCTAAATACAAATTTTATTCGATGATTTTTACATACCATGTAAAAGAAACAAACAAAAAAGCTATGATCATCAGTGTGAGTGCATATATAAATTATGAAAAAAGAGCATTTTTTTTTATTAATCACTTCGAAAAAAAATCAACCCCACCACACGCATATAGCGAATTCCATTGGTAAAACTGGATCGCACTAAGTGCATATTTTGTATTCCATTGGTAAAACTGGTGTCGGGTTTTGAATTCCATTGGAATACTGGTTCACATAGTTTAGAGCTCAGTGCAACAATTCTCGCACGAGCTCTAATAGGTCGTGCGAAGTAGGTGCAGTTTTGAAAATGGCGGAAACATTGAATATGCATAACTTGAAAACCAAAATTGAGTGGCAATCTAATCATCATCATCAAGTAGTGATAAAAATTTGGAGGTTTCAAGAAAATAAAGGAGACTACTTCTCAGAATTCATAATTTTGTTGAGTGTTTTGCACTAAAATTCAATGATGAAGAAGTTCTTATTGAAAAAAAAACTGATCAGAATCATTTCCATGAAACATCTACTCCGTTTTTAATTGAAGTCGAGAAAGAATTTCGGGATACGGACAAGTTATGAACAATGACAAACCAATTTATCCGATTTAACCTCCAACAATAACATTTTATTATATTATTTCGTATTCCATTGGGAATGCACCAGTTCACATTTTGGAGAGAACTAACGTTGTGCGGGTGCAAAACTGGTGCAAAACCAGTGCACCACCAGGTTTACGAATGGAATTCGCTAATAGTTTTCTTATCTGTATACTTGAAAGTTGTGATTGGTCTAAAGTCTAAAATAATACTCTGCCGGCAGAACTATTCGATACGGTCTAGAAACAGGACGCAACAAATAAAGACGTGTGGTGGGGGACCATTTCAGCCCGGGAGTATCAACTAGCGTTGCAGCGCGTATAAAAAGATTGAAGATGTGATTAAAAATTTTATGTACAGGGTGTGCCTCTTAAACTCAAACCTCCCTTCAACTCCTTTGTTTTTAGAGATATAAAAAAATATACCAAGGATCAAAACACAAAATCATCTCCACGATTTGAATAGTGATCAAATTATTAAATCAGATCATCGTTCAAGTTTCGAGCCCATACAGGTCCATCTTCAGCGAAAATTGTGAAAATTCTACAACATTATAATGATCATTATTGAAATTTTGGAGACAAATTTGTGTTTTGATCCTTGGTAACTATAATATATAACCACTCCAGCATTTATTTGAGATACTATATATAGGGACTTCTACCACAGATTAAATGAAAAAATGTTGAATGCAAAAGTTGTTTGAAATGATTTAGATTTTTATTTCGTAATGTTCTTCAATATACATACAGGGTCATTCGTTTTTCCGGTAATAAGGACATAATTTCTGATTTTATCAATCGAACACCTTATATATTTTTCGTTATGTCGATTGAGCCTTTTTTCCGAATCTAAATAAGTATTGTGCATGGGTATTTGGATGAAAAAGTGTTGATTTATTAATGTTCGAAGTTTACCAAAACACCTACCGCATCTTTTCATTCAAACTGTAATATATTTTTTCTGCAACCGACACAAAAGTCGTCCATTTTAATACCAAAATTAGCTCTTGAATTGACGTTTCTATTACTGACACAAAAATAGGTATGTTACTAGGCAACACATATTTAGTTCCTATATAGGAGCTAAAGTTGAACTTTAGTTCCTAGGAGCTAAAGTTGAACTTTAGTTCCTAGGAGCTAAAGTTGAACTAAGAGCACCTGATCCATACACAAATATGTTACTCTGTGGTTGTATTTATATTGAAACTACAATTCGAACATCCTTGAAAATTGAATAAACCTGCTCTGTTAATGCAGGTAGAAAATTCTCACCATACAGAATATTTGTTGCATTGCATACATATATGGCACGGCATTGGTGGTTACTTCACACACTCTTAGGAATCACTCATTTTACGGCATTCAACTTCCGCGTATTGTTGTTTTTTCGTACCTACGCAGGGGGGATAAGGGGGATATATTCCGCCTCATGCCGATGGAAAGACCACTTTTCTTCACGTATTACGTTTTCATCTTTATAATAATTAAGGGTTTCGTGTGGTTGGTCGTTGTGAGGAAAGCGAATGCTCAAATCAACGATGATGATAGAGTGGCTTCAAAGTGATTTCTCGTTACATTCCGGATATATTTCTTCCAATAAACATTTCAAATCTCGGGAACAAATCCATTCGGAAGATATTGGAATTTTTTACACGGTGTGCAGTATCAGTTACATATACAGGGAGTCCCAAAATTGCTGGAGCTACCATGCACGTGTGATAGAGGTCAAAATAAGTTGATTGGAGCCAATTTATTTGTATTCCGAAATATACCATTTGCCCATGAGAAGAATACAAAGAGTTAACAAAAAAAACTCATTTTTGTACGCCGTTCAGAAATTAGTGAAACAATACATTGAATGAAATTTGACAAGAGTGCATTTTAGAGGATTACTCTCCTTTCGGTACTGTAGAAGGTTCAAAACCACCCTCACCCATTTTTTTCAGAACATTCTTAGGGGTGGTAATTATTACTGTTCTCAAATTTTTTTTTAGCGAGAAGACTGATCAATTATCTCCATTGTGTAACTCATCTAAACATTTCGTATTCCGCATAGTTCCGAAGAAAAAAAATGTTTATCTCAAAAAATGCTAACAGATATTCGTGGAAAAGTTTCATAAAATTGTAATACAAAATTATATGATACAGGCGAAAGTGAAAGTGCTGAAATCGAAGAGAATATTTCACTTTGCATATTTCCAAGGAACTCTCAGTAAAAATTAAGCTCTCATCTTTGTGGCAATTCATTCTATGCCAATGACAATAAACGTAAAATAGACAATATTCATGTGAGCAAATATGCAAAGTTGTCTGCATTCTAGAAACGCACATCAGAATGTGGATACAAACCTGAGAAATCGAAAACTTTGAGATCGAAGTTTATATCTTCTACGTCAGATGAAAACCAATATCACTGACATGTCTCGTTGTTTGCATACAGTTGCATCATTCCCTTCGAATTATTTTGTAGGTTTTAAGCTTAGTATATGATCCAAGGATTTTGCTTAAAATACTCTTTAAAAATAAGGACCTTTAAACACTTGTTACATAGTAATATACTATTATAATTTGACAATGGCTTATTAGGCTAAGCGATGGGGAGTTTCTATTCGCAAATGGTCACGAAGAAATCAAATTTTGTGGGATATGGTATAGAGATAGGTTGCCTGATAGTCCACCTGAGTATGCGACCTCGAGCACTGTGGATAATTTCACCTTTAGAGTTTTGCTAAGATATTTCTTGCTACCATTACAAGAAATCCTATGACCGTTACACATCTTCGAATATATAGAAGCAACACATTGAAATACCATGATAGCAATAACGATTTTGCTGAAACTGAATTTTCTGCCACATAAAGGTATACTGCTGTCGCTATCAAGCCATATGCCTGTTGCTGCGAAGTTCGTCGAATAGAACTGCACTCACTACCAATAATACAACCGTCAGCCTGCGACTAAAATAATATTTGACGAACCTACTTGAGGTTATTCAGCGCCTACTAATCGTTATTCGATATTTTGCTGATTTCCCTCCCTCTATATGAGCATTTGTCAGATATCTTGCATCCCACAAACTTGTTCAATCATTTCCACAGTTGGGTTGTTGATGCAAACCCATGTACAGGACGACAATCTCGGCGACACGGCAGTTTCGAATACTTTCTTTCTTGAAATCAATTCATTATCTGAATTTGAATTCAAAGATAGAATGAAAACATTCAAATTCAAATAAAAAAATATTCTGTGTCCCTTATTCTAGTGATCGTAAATCTGGGTGCTCCAGTTATTATCAGGATTGGTGGAATGATAAAGGTGAGTTCATTCAAGGAATTTTTACTGAAATATTAATGTTTCAAATTCAACATTTCCTCCTTTTTGGTCCAATGAAAATTTTCAAATTGATTCCAGAGCTTCTTTATAACATGTGGGCTAAAATTATTGTTGAATGTTTAGGTTATGAGATAATATAAATAATGCTTATGCGGGTGTAAATTTTTTATCTGTACGCCTCTGTAATAACTTGCCTAGATTTCGAGATACATTGCTTCAAATAGTTCTCAGATAACACATATTTTTCATTGATTACTCAAGAACCTTCTGTTTTTTCTGAGGGTGAATCGATTGATACTTTAAATCGCTATTCTTATCAAACAGGGTGAAAATTATGGAATGTGAAATTGGCCATGCAACAATCTATATAATTATGATCATACCCATCAAGAGTAGCAAAGTTCCCCCTGCAAGTCAAATCATTTCGAAGCCCATAAAAATCAAGCTTTCCCATGAAAATACACGATGGGAAATTTTTTAAAGTTTTCTATATCACCCTGCCCGCAAGATTTAATGGAAGAACACACTAGTATTATAGTGCTCCCTAGGGAAGACGGAGAAAATTTCTAAAACACTGTATGTA